TATTCTTGGATGTTTGAAAATTGTTTTATTTGCATAATTATATACATATATAATATTTTGTAAGTGTGTGATACATACAGTAACAATATCAATCACAAAACATACAGGATCTTTAAGTTTTACCAGTCAAACATTTCAATGATCAAATAACCATCGAATCCATGCAAACATGCGATAAATTAGCATTGAAAAACAATATATAATGTTTGCCTACCTTTTCTTTTGTTTGGAATAAACAACTTTGTCTGTCAACCCGTCGTTTTTTTGTCCGCCAATACAATTGAATTTCAAATCCGATAAGTCGCAAATTCGAATTTACTAAATTATTTACCACTATAAAATGAAGCCCTCAAAAATGATAACAACTTCATTGTAAATTATATTAACACTTCTTAGACTAATTCGAGGAGATAAGATATTATTTAAACGAAAATAGAGCAAATATATTTCATACTGATCTGCGACTATCCGTTTACAGAGCGCCACCTATCGAATATCGTACGTTAGCCACCCACGTGATACTGTTGTTTTGATGGAGAAAATAAATATATAATGTTCCCTTTCTAAACATAAACTTAAAATTCTCGCTGTTTATGCTTTCATTTATATATATATATTGGTTTCATAAATTAAATTCACCTATTGTCAGATTACCGACCAAAACCCGACGTCGAGTCGACGTCAAAATGAAACGTCTGTTAGACGTCGGGGATTCAACGTCGATTTGACGTTGTATGAAGGTCACCGACGTCGCGACCAAAATTCAACGTTGATCCAACGTTGGGTCAACGTCGGATGTTTGCTGGGAGGTTCCTTAGTGTAACTTAATACCTCCTGCTGATGAAGGCAAACTTCTAATGAGCTAACCTCGATCAGAGAAACGCTGAATTGCACAAACCACAATAATGTTTTCTTTTACCAGCATTTTGCCATACATGTATGTGTGATGAAACTACCTAGTGTACAAAACGCTATATAACACTTTTCACAATTGAGTTACTCTCTCCAGCATGTTTTGCCGTATATGTGAGATAAGATAACAAGATAAGAAAATACATCACAGATGTCCTTTATTTATTTATAAATACGATGTGCTCTCAGATATATCTTACCAAAGTCGTATCATTTACATGTATCAAATGCCATGAATCATTATCATAATATAATTAGAAACACATGGTATGCTAACAGTATGGGTAAAGTACTTCAATTAACAACGAGTAGTTTAACAACTCTGATACATGTGTAAATGACTGGCCCCTCTTATAAGGGAAATTCATGTTGATAAGAAATAAGAGGAAATTTTATTTACCAGCATTTGAATAATAAGAGTCTTACGTACTGCATTTAACTTTTTATTGATTTCAATTGCTAGGATATTTCCTACCATTGATTGTGCATTTATTTGGCATGGCGATATAGTGTGGGAAAAATGATCCGATTATACAGACTGTTCTATAGCAAATGATAAAGTGTTCTTACGTGGTATCTCACGAAATCACGTGACATTAAGTTTTACCAGTCAAACATTTCAATGATCAAATAACCATCGAATCCATGCAAACATGCGGTAAATTAGCATTGAAAAACAATATATAATGTTTGCCTACCTTTTCTTTTGTTTGGAATATACAACTTTGTCTGTCAACCCGTCGTTTTTTTGTCCGCCAATACAATTGAATTTCAAATCCGATAAGTCGCAAATTCGAATTTACTAAATTATTTACCACTATAAAATGAAGCCCTCAAAAATGATAACAACTTCATTGTAAATTATATTAACACTTCTTAGACCTAATTCGAGGAGATAAGATATTATTTAAACGAAAATAGAGCAAATATATTTCATACTGATCTGCGACTATCCGTTTACAGAGCGCCACCTATCGAATATCGTACGTTAGCCACCCACGTGATATTGTTGTTTTGATGGAGAAAATAAATATATAATGTTCCCTTTCTAAACATAAACTTAAAATTCTCGCTGTTTATGCTTTTTCATTTATATATATATATATATATATATATATATATATATATATATATATATATATATATATATATATAATATATATTGGTTTCATAAATTAAATTCACCTATTGTCAGATTACCGACCAAAACCCGACGTCGAGTCGACGTCAAAATGAAACGTCTGTTAGACGTCGGGGATTCAACGTCGATTTGACGTTGTATGAAGGTCACCGACGTCGCGACCAAAATTCAACGTTGATCCAACGTTGGGTCAACGTCGGATGTTTGCTGGGAGGTTCCTTAGTGTAACTTAATACCTCCTGCTGATGAAGGCAAACTTCTAATGAGCTATTTCAATGAGATTCATTTGGAACACTTATTGCAGCATTCTGCTGTACGTACTTGTTGAACCATTTAAAACTTTTCAGAGTTATGCGTCTGACAATTTTTTTTCAGCTCTGATGGACTCGTAATTCTGACAAGCGTTGATGTGAAAATTTGTGAAAGAATTAAGAATAATAATAAAAATGTTTTGGTGTGTTGAATAGATATATAATCGAGATAATAAAATAATGGCGGGAAATAAATACTTTTTTTATTTTTTATCCAATATTCATATAATGCGTTAAATGAATTAAACCGACTAGTGTATTGAAGGGATGTACGAAACAGGATACTTTTGAGCCTTTCTGCGATAAACATTCCTCAAACAATGGCCGATCTTTTCCGCAGTCGTAGATAGGCACTTTAAAGATTTTTGTGATTCTATCTTCAAATTACCTTAAAAAAGTAAGTCCATGTGGAAATTTGTTATAACAGACATGCATTATTTAAAAGGTACAAGTACGAGTATCCCAATGAAGAGAGACTTGGATCTACTTATTTCGAGTTTTTTTTAGCCATACCATATCAATTCATTCATTCCTTCGTTCGTTCCTTCCTTCGTTCGTTCGTTCGTTCGTTCGTTCCTTCCTTCCTTCCTTCCTTCCTTCCTTCCTTCCTTCCTTCCTTCCTTCCTTCCTTCCTTCCTTCCTTCCTTCCTCCTTCCTTCCTTCCTTCCTTCCTTCCTTCCTTCCTTCCTTCCTTCCTTCCTTCCTTCCTTCCTTCCTTCCTTCCTTCCTTCCTTCCTTCCTTCCTTCCTTCCTTCCTTCCTTCCTTATTCATTTATTTTGAATTAATCCTTGCATAAAAGTTAGCAGTTAATTTTTGGAATTAATAGTGACTGTCCAATAAACATGTCCTTTTAGGTGGAGGGGAGACAACTTTTCAACATAAGGAAAATATTCTCCAACGAATAATTCCCCATTTGCATCATTTTACAATTAATTACACTCTTCTGTTGCACTGCTTCTTCATTTGCTTTATTTTGTATATTAACGATTTAGATGGTTTACAATAGAACTAGATCTGATGCGAACATCAAATTTGAAACAAAAGAGAAAACGATTTTATCAAAACTTATAAGCGTACATGTACATTTTCTAACATTCTTATTACAACAAAACTCTCCCAATTATACTAGTCCATTATATTAATCTATCAAAGGACATGCAGCGCATTTCCTGAATTGTCAGAATGATTATGGAAACTAATGCTTTACATGTAATAACCTTCAACAATTCGTGCCTGTTGATAATTGCAAGATTGATGAAACTGTCTCACAAAAAGAGAGTTAAATCATCATTAGCCGAATGGCGATGTTTATTTCACTCATTATCTACATACATGTACATATGTATCTAAATTAGCTAAATATGTTTGGCATATTAAATAATACAAGAAGAATATTTCTTAATAAATATAAAAGAATTGCAAACTGCAGGTAAAAAGACAGTCATGGCAGTGCCATGTAGGAGTGTCATAAAACATTGAGTTACCTGACTACGGGTGCGACCTCCGCGGTAGTAAAATCATCCTTACATGCTAAGCACTTTGCATCTAGACACACAGCATCTATATTACAGTATCTTTATATCTAAATATCTATCTGTCGTTCACTAATGGCAAAAAATTGGTATAAAAAGGCTATTTTGGCAACGGTACAAAAATTAAGAATATTTTGTAACATTTGTTTTTAAGAAATAAAAGAATGGCAGACTGCACACGTTGCAGTGCCGTATAGGAGCGTCATAAATCATTGAGTTACCCCAACTTCCCAAATTTGAACCTAAGTTACTAGAGAAGCAGGCAGAAACAACGTAAACCCTACGGCACTCACAGACTACCCAATGAGAGTCGTCTGCGGGCCAATTTTGATTGGTGCTCGATCGTGCGGCGAGGCAGCGAGAGCTCCGGTGTCAGAAACGTGTGGAGGGACAGCTACTCTGGACAGATCAGCCGAGAGTCAGCGATCGATGTTCAGATGTGTCAACCGGGACACACGCTCCGATTTATAACTTCGGAACGGTGGCTATATATACTGTCATGTAATAGTACAGAAAATACAAAGGCACTAATAATACATTATTATGGATAATATATTAAACATATTTTAAAATTCAAATGATTAATTTATCCAAATAGTGTCATGTTCATACCCTTTAAAATAAACCACTTTTAAATATTTTTAAAGAAATAAATTGTTCACTCAAATTTACCAGACAGCTTTAATTACTTTACTTAAAAATTTACATTATCACTTAAAGGGAGCTAAACTCTTCAGGCATATTCGTGTAACGAGCATTTAGTGGCGTTACTCAATCACTAAGTGGGTTTTACAATTCAATGATATTACAACTGCTCCGTATATCACAAAGATGCAGACTACCACTGCTAAATATCGAACATTTTAATTTTGTACTCAAAAATATTGTATTTCAATCAGTTGTGATCACTTATGACAAGTGTTTATTGTCTTATCATTGATGTAAAGATATCCAAAACTATAACAACGAAAAACTTTTGCGGCATAAGAAACAAATACTAAATCAATTATATTTAGAATATAACGGAAATCGAATGGGTACATATATTTTGAGTACGAATAGTTGTGTTGTTGCTGCGGCGGTGTAGATTCGTGTCCGCTGCACTGACTTTACTGATAATATCGTTAGCTTGATAAAAAGTAAACAAGTGCAAAGTTTCTACAAAACAAAAGTGGAAATTGCAATCATTCGGCTGTGTCAGCATATAATTTCAAAATGAAACGTTTCGTTGTCGCATTACCTAGTGTACTGGGTAGAAATGCATCAAAATCAAAGTTGCTAAAGAATGAAAAATGTGTTAGAACATTGCAAGTGGGGAGAACGTTATCTGACAGTTTTACTGACCATTCAACCACACCTTTTCCAGAGTTTGACACGTTTGCCACTCACGATGAGCTATACCAGTTTAGTCTGAACTCGCCAGACTTTTTCTGGGGCACACTGGCACGATCTCGTATTAATTGGTATAGGGATTTTGGAAGGGTTAAAGACTGTGATCTTACAAGAGGTCATATCAGGTGGTTCCTTGATGGAGAGTTAAATGTGTCAGGTAATTGCCTGCGTTATTTATTTTGAATAGAATTTGATGTTCAGACCTAATGAAATGAGCTGAAGCAGAGAAAAAAAAGTACAGACACATATCAGATTATTCAAAATGAAGTTATCAGACATATGTCATGATATCGATATGAATCATGATAAGGGTGCATGAACAAGGAAGTTTGCATTCAAATTGAATATGAATATATTAATTTATCATACAAAGTTTATTTAGAAGATAACATTTTAAAGCTATATTTAGATTTTTCTGACATGTATACAGACATTACAGTACAGCTTTTGAAAGGCACCAATTGTGATTTATTGGCTGCAGGCTGTGTCCATATTCAAAGTCACTGATGACAATAAAGTTTATACTTATATTTATTAATCATACAGCCTTTTACATGAATATTAAAATTTTTATTTTGACAAATTTTCTTTCAACTATTACAATAATTTGTATAAATCTGAACTGTCAATAGACCCGCCAGTATATAGATACTGAAATAATCGTGACATATTATGTAGAGGGGGCTTTACTGGAATCAGTTTGTTACATTTGCCAGTGAGTTTGTCCGTATGTCCATCCATCCCAATAGTTTCCACTCTATAAATTCTGTATCTTTTAAAAAGATTTTCTTCAAACTTGGATAAGGTTTTCACTCCAACAAGGTGATATGCAGAAAAACTCTATGCCACCTCTGTCTCAGATCAAGGTCACATTTGAAGTCATAGGTCAAATATCAGACACTTTTTAAAACTTTTACCCCAGGAAGGATTTTTTTAAAACTTGGCTTGAATGTTAACCTTTATAAGGTGAGTACAGAATCCATGCCACTGCTATGTCTGCTATTTAAATCCTATACCTTTTGAAGGATTTTCTTCAACTCAACAAGGTGGTCTGCAGAACCTTGCCACTTCTTGCAGACTTGAAGGTCAAATGTCTGACTATTTTTTGTCTGCTCTATAAATCTTATACCAGTTAAAGGATTTTCTTTAAACTTGGCTCAATTGTTGCCCTAAACAAGGTGATGTGCAGAATCCACACCACCCTTGTGCATGTTGTGCAAACTCATGGCCAAGGTCACACTTAAGGGCCAAATTTGAACATTGTGTCTGCACTAACAATTCTATACTTTTTAAATGAGTTTTATAATTTAACCTAAATGTATCCGATAAATTACACTACATGATATCCTGTGTCGTAGAAATCTGATGGGTATTTGTCACCCCTTTGGCAGTCATAGTTTTTACTGGAAAAGCATCAATAGAGAAATCTGAAGTAGATCAATCATATTTCTTTTTATAATTATATGTACTTGTTGTATATTGTATGTATATGTTTAATCTTAGTACTATCTTAATACTGTAATGCCCATGTCCATTATCTTCCCACCACTTATATACTTGGAGCATTCAGTGGTCATTAAACGATAGAACTACATGTAGAAACACGTATCTGTGTTATATATTACAAGTGCACGCTCTGTGTACATACATGTACATGTATTATTAAATAGACCCACAATACAACAGTACTTTTAAAAACTTTCCAGTGAATTGTGTTGACAGACATGCCGAGAAGAATCCTGATAGTATTGCTCTGATATGGGAGAAAGATGAGCCTGGCACACAAGAATATGTCACCTATAGGTAATCTTTTCTCATATTCCCTGTTAACATAACTCCATATGGTAACTTTTTCCTCTTATTTCATGATAACATGATTCTGTATGGTAACTTTTTCTCTTATTCTCTGATAATATGACTCTATGCCTTTGTTCAAATTACTTATTATTTGTAGGATAGACTTCAAAACTGTATTTGTAACTTTTTGAAACTTGTAATTCTTGATAAATTTTTTAGGGAGTTGCTTCAGCTAGTATGTAGAATGTCAAATGTTCTGGAGAGCCATGGTGTGAAAAGAGGTGACAGGGTAGCCATCTATCTCCCCCAGTCCCCTGTGGCTGTGGCGGCCATGTTGGCATGTGCTCGTATAGGGGCAATACATAATGTTGTGTTTGCTGGGTTTAGTTCAGAAGCTCTTGCTGGCCGTATTGTTGATGGTATGTAATATATATGTATATACTGTTATTACATTGTATATTAACTGTACATATTGCATAAGGAAATTTTATTTAAACAGCATGCCTGCAGATTAACATGAATAAAAATGTATTTAAAAGTAAAACATTGTAAAGTGACAAAAAGAGTAATATACACTTTGCAAACAGTACTTACAATCCACATAAGGCACCTCAAAGAGGTCATATTATGAAAAATAGCCTTTAAAATTACTAGATTAATCACACAGTAGGAATACAGTGGTGAACATTGTCAGTAATCACACAAAACATAAATATTATTGCTTAAATCTTGAATCTTTTTGACAGACCTCAGACCTGTGCTAATAGCATGTCCATTACAAAGATAAGGCATTATTCCATTAAATAAATGAGCATGGTAATGCAAGGGCATTATTTCATTACAAAAGCCATCATGGTAATGGTAAAATTTCCATGCAAAGGCTTTGTTTCTGAAGAGTTAACATTATGATTAAATTACCAGTCAATACTGTTACATAGATGGTTATTCTATTGAATCAATCCAAACGAATTGTATGTGTGATGAAATAAGTTTTATATACATAAAGATATACTTCAATATAATACAGCTCAAGCCGAGACTGTGATAACAGCAGACCAAGGTGTGAGAGGAGGTAAAATAATCGAGCTGAAGCAGGTGGTCGATGATGCTCTGAAGTCATGTACATGTGTTAAACGTGTATTTGTGTACCAACGTACTGGCAATGATGTACCAATGGGAAAATTAGATATTAACCTTGACAAGGTATCTTATTTTAGTCACTTTTGATCATTTTTGCATTAGATTTATAAATAAGCTGTGTGTAGCGATTTGGTCCTTGTACATTTAGAAATAATACCAGCAAAATGAAGCAGTAAAAATGTCATAGAAAATTTGATTGTTGGTTGTTATATATACATGTACTGTGTGATTTTCATAATAGATATCAGCCTTTCTGTTCATCAATTTACTATGATACTAAATGGATTAGCAAATTATTAAAAACCTGAGTAAAAAGCTAGACATGGTTTGATTGTTGAGATTTTATGTTCAAGGTTTTTTGACCTCAGTGAAGCTTCTTTAAAGTTACACCTAACATAAATGAAATGTTTGATTTCACATTACAGGAACTAGCCAGTCAGCCAGATACCCACACACCAGCTGTCATGGACAGTGAGGACTATCTGTTTATGTTGTATACTTCCGGTTCAACCGGTAAACCCAAGGGTATTGCTCATACACAAGCAGGCTATCTTCTGTATGCAGGACTCACCATGAAGGTTAGTTAAACTAGAACTATTATATTTATATGATCAGCAACATTTTCATTGTACTAGTGTATGTACCGTTGAATATATAAGCTAATATAGTTTTTGAATTTTGTTTAAATGTAAGCTTTTTTTATAAAAATACAAAGAGCATAATATTAACAATCCGACCCCCCTTTAACAAAATGCTTTAATACGGTTAAAAGATAAAAATAGATTGATATTTTTGGCATATCTATGTTTTGAAATATGACAGTTGCCATTTTGTCAAATTCCATTGAAATTTTATCCAGTAGTTGGAGCGCTTTTGGTACATTCTTTTGAAAGAGATTAACAGATCGACGAAACGTCAGTTTTGGCAATATTCAGAGGCCATACAAAAAGCCCTTTCTAGGTTTTATGAAAAAGTAATGTAATTTTCTTTTAGTTCATAAATTGTTATATTCATCACCAATTAAAAGTTCAATATTTGTTTACAATTTAAGTAGATAACCTACAGATTGGGAGAGTGGTGGCCTGATGCCATCTTGATCAAGCGTTTAAGTCCTTTTTTTGGCAATATTATACCCATGTTTCTTCACCAATCCAGATCAGTCCTGGAAGAGGACATGAAAGTGATAAAAAAAGAGAGAATTTGCAAGGGCAAGTCTTTGGTTGTCATAAATTTTATTTTCAGAAAATAACAGTTCTGAATTTGAGGCGGACCTTCACAGTTTTATCACATACAACAACGACTACTTTTTATGTTCAAAATGCATTTTAGACAGTCATATTAGCCTGCAGCTGCTGTATCATAACAACTTCTGTATTTTTTTATGAAAGAAACTTGTGTTGATAAATTCCAAGTATTAAAATTAACCCCAAGTATATTATATAAAAGCAAGTTTGTCTTAATTTATGCGGTAATATAATTTAACAGTGATGTTACTACAGTCCAAGATACATAGGTGAGAGGTTGACATTTGACTTTCTTATTTTTGTTTGTTGACTAAATGATGTTTGGTATTACAATTTATTCATGAATGCATTATTGCTTATTTGATTGTTTTTTATGTTTTGACATTATTCTCAGACTCTGCACTTTGCAAGTGGTCATTGGTAAGAAATTGTAAAACATTCCAGTTAGATGCTAAATTTTTAGTGTCTTTTCATATTGTGCTTTTGATTGTTCTTCCTGCAAAATCATCAATATTCATGGGGAACTAATTTTTGTGGTTTTCTTGGATAGGTCAATCCATGATTTAAGATCCAATGAAATTTCATTTTGTCTGCTGTAAGATTATTTTACATTGCATTATTTACATTTTACCTTTTGGAAAAATAAACATGTCACAAATTAAAGATTCCACGAAAATGTTCTTTGAGACAAAACCACGAAATTAATGGAATTCACAGTAATAATGGAATAAGTATTTCTGATTGCTAAATTTATGTTGATTATTTACGTACAATGTATATCTTTCAAATATTCTTTATTATAAAATCAAAGTATGTAATATCGCATTTGAGGAATTCTTTAGTAGTTAATGTGCAGTAATAGCTAGGTTAGAAATGTAAATAAAAGATAAAAAAATAGGTTTGAAAAATCTTTCATAATAGATCATTAATAATGTTGGTCTGATACAAGATCTGAATTTTACTATTACAGCATGTGTTTGATTATAAGCCTAATGAGTTATTTGGCTGTGTAGCAGATATTGGGTGGATCACCGGACACACGTATGTTGTTTACGGCCCTCTATTTAACGGTGCTGCCACTTTACTATTTGAAAGCACCCCAGTCTACCCGAACCCTGGTCGGTACTGGGAGACCATTGAACGCCTGAAACTTAACCACTTGTACCTGGCACCAACAGCTCTACGTATGTTATTGAAGTCTGGCGACTCATGGGTTACCAAATATGATAGGTCGTCACTAAGGAAACTTGGTTGTGGTATGTTGTTTATCTTAATTTTTAAACCTATTGAGTATGATGTTCCAAAAGTGTATTCTTCTTTAATCATTCAGAACATTGTGTTTGTTTAAATATAATGTTATAATCATTCATGGACCAATTGTCCCACACCCCTGTGGGTTTAAATCCCACAAGGGACTTTGGATTAATGTGAGGAAGCTATCCAGCTAGCTAACAGAATGTTCATCATTCTACTCATGTGCCCATTCTGAAATAATGCATGGAGAATTACCTGAGGTTGTCCACCACCGGTAAAGCTGGAAAGTTGTCATATGAATTTTACAGCATTGATGGGCTGTAAAACCCAACTTAGAATATAGTAATAATAATACTCAATATTGGCAGTTTCAGCAGTTTTTCTTTTAAGATAGACTTGGATACTAAAAGAATTACAATCCAGATGTGTACTTTTTTTGAATTCACTGAAAGTCATCTTTAAAAGCTCTTTTTATAAAAAGTCTTTAAATAAACTTCAGGTTACAATTTTCATTAAATAAATGTTGTTTTATTGCTTTGTTCCATATTAAAGATAAATTTATTTGTGATATGATATTACTTAAAGACTTTTTTGTGCCCTCATCATAGGGAGGCTTAGTAAAAGATTTGAAATTTTCAACTTGTGTCACACATAGCCAAAAAAAAAAAAAATCTGACCAATAGTCAGTAGATTGACAAAACAGTTAAGTATGGGAGCATCCTTGTCCTACAGAAACACGTTTCTAGTTAAAATGAATGAATAATATGTTTATTTTGATTCAAACAAAATTTTTACTTCCAGTTGGAGAGCCTCTGAACAGAGAGGCATGGGAGTGGTTTTATGAAGTGATAGGTGAAGAAAGATGTGACATCTGTGACACATGGTGGCAGACTGGTAATTTGTTTAATCCTTACACTGCACAAAGTTCCTTAAAGGAATTCCACTGAGGTCTAAAAGCCTCAAAACTTGAAATTTGAATTTCTTACACAGATTAACTGGGGCACTTAAAACAGAAAGATTTGCAAAACATAATTCTCAGAAATAAATTGAGAATCGTATTTTTTTGTGCTATTATTAGCCAAATTTGAATGAAAAACATATCAAGGCTTTTCAATTATACAAATGTAGCTCATTTTTCACAGAATATTTGTTCTTGAAAAAGATGTGAGCAAATGATCTGACATTTTGCAAACAAGTTATTGGTTTAGATTCACATAAAATGGAACATTAATCTTGAAAAAAAAAATCAGTCCAGTCATGTCAAAAAACCTCAGTGGAGTCCCTTTGGTCTCAGGATGTAGAGTTATGGCCCTTTAGGCAGTATATTGTGGAACAGAATGTTTGTTGTTTCTACTTTTTCCCTACAACCCCATAACATTATTTCTCAAGACTTTTTGCAAGAGAGGAAAGAAATAAATTTATAGCAGTCAAGGTTGGCATATTGCATGTTTTGTTTGTAAGATTTCTGGGGGAGTTTCAAAATGTTGTTAAGAAGGGAGAGATTCTATTTGGTTGATAATAGCCCCTTTTGATTATTCAATGTTTTTTTTAGAAACTGGTGGTATTGCAATTACCCCACGACCTTCGGCACCAGGGGCGGAAATAAGGCCGGCCATGCCTATGAGACCATTCTTTGGTATAGATCCAGTTCTGATGGACCCACAAATGGTAAAACTTGTAGCATTTTATCATTATTTAAAACTGATAAAAGACCTAAGACCTACATTGTATTTATAACATATTGTTACTTGTCTTAAATCGGATTTAACCATTACACATGAATTAAATATTAAATGTTATGACATTATTATCTATCCTATGTAAAGTCATAGGGTGATGACATTTAAAAAACAGCTGTGATTTTGCTGTTTACGACATTTATTTATTCCTAAAGGATTTAACATTTAAGTGCCCATATGTCATATGTTATTTTTGTAATTTATAAACTTATATAAAATTAACATTACATGTTACTAGATTAAGTTTACATTTATATTTTATATAGGGAACAGAATTGACTGGTGGAGATGTGAAAGGTGCCTTGTGCATTAAACGACCTTGGCCAGGAATGGCAAGATCAATATATGGAGATCATCAAAGATTTATAGATACATACTATAAAACCTACCATGGTACCTAGATTAATCATCTGAATACATTCTATTTATCAGATAATTAGTTTGTTTTGCAAAAAAAGGTGTTTTGTTATTTCTATACATACCATATAGCCAGCACAAGTTGGCCCCAATAGCTTATATTTTATGGTTGCTTACTACCAGTGACTGCTACAAGCAGTGCTCACTTCCTTTGGGATAGAAACCTGTTAGATACGATGTCATTCAGAAAACTGTTATCATTCAAATTACTAACTTTGTTTAATTGGTTAATTTCTGCATATTGTTAACATCCTTTGCTTTTGAGTAATTTCAATGTCAAAAATACTGTAACTTAATTTCCCTACTGTAGAAAGTATTGTCAAATTTCAAAAAAATGGCAGTCTGACTTGGTGGAGATGTAAAAGATGCATTGTGCATTAAACGACCTTGGCCAGGAATGGCAAGATCTATATATGAAGATTATCAAAGAGTTATAGAAAAAAGGGGCAGTCTGACTTGGCTCCTATGTGTTACAAGTATTATCTCTCACACTCAAGAGAGGCATTCACTTTAAGATTAGATCTTCTAAACTGGTAGCTTAATATTTAAGTTTATCCTCTACCATTATGACTTGTGTAAAACAGTGTTGGTTTTACTGAAAACTCTTCCAATAAAATAAAAAATAAAAAAAAATAAGTAAAAACATAACACTATGTAAGTTGGCAATGTCAGACGTCTCTGTTGGATAGGAATAACAGAAAAAGGTGAAGGTTTTAAAGGGAGACACAGGCAAAATTTTCATTTCTTAGTTTTGAAATTTTCATTCACTATTCTGTAAATGTCCTCAAAATGAATACACTAAACAGTCAAAGGAACAAAACTTTTCTCCATATAAAGAATAAAATGGTGTTTTCCTAACTTGACCCGCGTGGGTCAGGTTAGAGCGCTAAAATTTCACAATAGTTGTCACTCTGTACTCTGGAAACGTTAAAAAACATGTCAAATCAATTACTTAGACTTGTTTCAATCATACAATATCCACAATATTTGTAATTGTAACTTCCAGGGTTTGTTCAAATCGCATGACTTGTTTTTAAACTATTCGGTGATTCTGTTCGCGTCAAAATTTCGTTCAACATATATAGATATATTTAAACTTCAAACCCAAAATATATAGAATTTATACAGAAATTCATGTTTGGACTTTAAGAAATGTCATTTTAGGGTGATTTGAGTACAGAAAATAATTTTTATATTTTTGCCATTATTTTGCCTGAGTATCCCTTTAATCTGTGTTATTGTTATTTATTTAGGTGTATATTTTACTGGTGATGGAGCATATAGGACCAAGGACGGCTATTATCAAATCACGGGTAGAATGGATGATGTTCTCAATGTCAGTGGACACAGACTTGGTACGGCAGAAATAGAAGATGTTATAGTAAGTCTGCTTAGTGATCATATAACCCTTAACCAAAAGTGATCAGCCTTTGCCAACAATATAGAGCCAGGCCAGTCTGGATATCCGTGCAGGCTGACCAGGCTTTATACTGTCGGCTCTTCAATTTTAGTATTTTGATATTGAAATCCCTTGGATTTGGAATGGAATGCTTCAAATTCAAGGCTGGACTTATCTTTTATAGAAATATAGCAGGATAAGGGCTTCAAAGTGGTCAACATGTTGGACTAGTATTCTAATGATCCCTAGCCGCAGGAGTTCAAACTCAGTCAGCGGCAAATTGTTGTTTTCTTGAGCAAGAAACTTTACACTGATTGCTCAGTTCTGGTTGGTTCCAGGAACTCATTCAAAAGTGTGTCTGTAAGCTTATAACTTCCTACATTCGAAATAAAATAAATTATGTATAAACCAAGGGTTAAGCTTGATTCTACCCATGTGACCATCGCTGACCAAGATCACACTGATCATGGTCTGCTCTGTTGACTATCCAGTCACATCATATTTTGAGTTTTTCCTTGAAAATAATAAATGCTTTTGTCCAGGTTAAACAATGTACAATAATGTACAAGTCTGTGTAAGATATTTAATGTGATAATGGTTAAAATGATAGCCCTGAAATTGCTTTACCTATCCCTTGTTGATTACTGTCGAGCCAGTTTTCACGTGAAATGTGAAGCATGGCTCTTTATTATTAGCTTATTTAATTTAGAAACTTGATATTTAGATCCTTAAGGTGATCCCAAGTGTCATAATATGCTTGATATGGGGATATTTTTGTTTGTAGGATGATCTTGAAGAAACTGCAGAATCAGCTGTAGTTGGTTTCCCTCATGACATTAAAGGATGGGGTTAGTATATTCCACATGCTATAGACTTTAGAATATTATGTCTTAGTATAAACAAATTGTAGAATAAAGATAAAAATATTCTTTTTATGCTCCCCGAAAAATTTCGGGGGAGCATATAGTCATAGGGTTATCCGTCCGTACGTACGGACCGAATTCGTGTCCGGCCCATAACTTTGTTGTTTGAAGTCGGATTTTAAAACTATTTTACAGAAATGATCACCATATTGAGACGACATGCAACATTTGGCTCCCTACCTTGAAGGTCAAGGTCACAGCATGACCTTGCAGCAAAATCGTGTCTGGTCCATAACTTCATTATTTGAAGTCGGATTGTAAAAATATTTCACAGAAATGATCACCATATTAAGACGACGTGTTGCGCGCAACATTTGGGTCGCTACCTTGAAGGTCAAGGTCACGGCATGACCTTGCAGCAAAATCGTGTCCGGCCCATAACTTTGTTATTTGAAGTCGGATTTTAAAAATATTTCACAGAAATGATCACCATATTGAGACGACGTGTCGCGCGCAACATTTGGGTCGCTTCCTTGAAGGTCAAGGTCACAGCATGACCTTGCAGCAAAATCGTGTCCGGCCCATAACTTTGTTATTTGAAGTCGGATTTTAAAAATATTTCACAGAAATGATCACCATATTGAGACGACGTGTCGCGCGCAACATTTGGGTCGCTTCCTTGAAGGTCAAGGTCACAGCATGACCTTGCAGCAAAATTGTGTCCGGCCCATAACTTCGTTATTTGAAGTCGGATTTTAAAAATATTTCACAGAAATGATCATCATATTGAGATGACGTGTCGCGCGCAACATTTGGGTCGCTTCCTTGAAGGTCAAGGTCACAGCATGACCTTGCAGCAAAATCGTGTCCGGCCCATAACTTCGTTATTTGAAGTCGGATTTTAAAAATATTTCACAGAAATGATCATCATATTGAGATGACGTGTCATGCACAACATTTGGGTCGCTACCTTGAAGGTCAAGGTCACAGCATGACCTTGCAGCAAAATCGTGTCCGGCCCATAACTTCGTTATTTGAAGTCAGCTTTTAAAACTATTTCACAGAAATGATCACCATATTGAGATGACGTGTCACGCGCAACATTTGGGTTGCTACCTTGAAGGTCAAGGTCACAGCATAATCATGCAGCAAAATCGTGTCCGGCACATAACTTCATTATTTGAAGTCGGATTTTACAACTATTTCACAGATATGATCACCATAATGAGACAATGTGTCGCGCGCAACATTTGGGTCGCTACCTTGAAGGTCAAGGTCACGGCATAACCTTGCAGCAAAATCGTGTCCGGCCCATAACTTTGTTACTTGAAGTCGGATTTAACAACTATTTCACAGAGATGATCACCATATTAAATCCACGTGTCGCATGCAGCATTTGGGTTGCTACGTTGAAGGTCAAGGTCACAGCATGACCTTGCAGCAAAAAATAACTTCGTTATTTGAAGTCGGATTTTACAACTATTTCACAAAAATGATCACCATATTGAGACAATGTGTTGTGCACAACATTTGGGTTATTTTTACACTTTGAACTTTGTCTGTGACATAACTCTGACACTACAAGAGGTATACCTTCCTTACAGTGTCCAAAACCTATTCGGGGAGCATCACCCGGTTCAACCGGCTCTTGTTTACTTAAGATTCATCATTTATTTAGATGAAACATTTAAAACAAAGTGACCTTTAGAATTGAAATTGTTTATAAATGGTAGATCACAGTAAGCAACAGGAATTATCAATTAATATGAGTAATAAGGTAGTCTTTCAGCAATTCATTTTATTGATGTCTGAAATAATAGATTGGCAAGGAACAAGAATATAAGGGGCATCTAAGATATTACTGGAACAATTTCAGTATTTATTTGATAATAAGGGTATGTCAGGGCTACTTAAGGTATTCCTGGTGTACCTTAGGTATTCAAGGGTCAACTAGGGTATGCCAGTATCTATGGTATTTTAGAAGCAACAAGGTTATTCCTTGGATGATTAGGGAAGCCCATGGACACATTGTGTACACCAGGGGCACCTTAAGTATACCAGGTGCATCTAGTGTATTCCTCAGACATCTAGATCATTCCAGGGAAGCTTGGGTATTCCAGGGACAACTAGGCTATTTCTGGGAAACCTTTGATATTCTGAGGACAATAGGGTATTCTAGGGGAACCTTAGGACACTGGCATTTTCTGAGACACTAGGGATATTCTATGAGATTTTTGGGTAATTCCTGTGACAACTAGGGTATTCCAGGGGAACTTTGGATATTCCTTAGGCAACTAGCGTATTCCAGGGGAACTTTGGATATTCCTTAGGCAACTAGCATATTCCAGGGGAACTTTGGATATTCCTTAGGCAACTAGTGTATTCCAGGGGAACTTTGGATATTCCCTGGGCAACTATGGTTCTCCATGCAAAAGCATCTCACCAAAGAAATTCCAGGCACTCTTGAAGAATTCATGAGTCACCAGGGTATTCAATTAGGCAACTGAAATAATACTTTTTGTGTAAAGTTAAAGACTCATGAGACTAAAAGTGTGTATGGATAGATGAAAATACCCTATGAATTTTTTATAGTAAATGTCAGAAATATTTATTGTAAATGTCAGAATTATTTATAGTAAATGTCAGAAATATTTACAGTAAATGTCAGAATTATTTGTAGTAAATGTCAGAAATATTGACAGTAAATGTCAGAATTATTTATAGTAAATGTCAGAAATATTTACAGTAAATGTCAGAATTATTTCTCGTAAATGTCAGAATTATTTCTAGTAAATGTCAGAATTATTCAAAGTTAATGCCAGAATTATTTATAGTAAATGTCAGAATTATTTGTAGTTAATGTTCCAAATATTTAGAATAAATGTCAGAATTATTTACAGTAAATGTCAGAATTATTCATAGTAAATGTCAGAATTATTTATAGTAAATGTCAGAAATATTTACAGTAAATGTGAGAATTATTTTTTTTACTCCACAAATAAACTTTGTTACTTATTCACATTGTTCTAAATGCTTTTTTTTCTACATGATAGGTATCTATGCATTTGTGGTGTTAAAGGACGACGTAAAAACATCTGAAGAGGAGATGAAAACTCAGTTGAAAGCTATGGTGAAAAAACGAATTTCTGCATTTGCTCAGCCAGACATTATTATGGTATGTGTGATTAAAGTGCAGACAATATTGATTAAATTTTTCAGTTGCCAAGTAAATGGGGATTGTATAGCTTAAGGATATTAGATAAGAAGAAATGTATTAAGAATTTTGTAATGTAATCTTTTCTTGTTAAACAGTGGTTTATGAATCAAAGGGAAATAATTATTCATGGCTCTTAATAAAATCTGTTGGTAGTTAAAGCAGAGTAACCTGACCAAAAACGACAGGGATTTGGAGCTTCTAAAGGAAAATTGAATTGTAATATGAGGATGTGTAATCTTTTTTTTGCCATCCTTTTAGCCTAACTGCCTTGATTTCGCATAAAGTTTTGTTTTAGTAAAATATTTAGATTCATAGGCCAGATTTCCAAGTGGAAACTTCTTCATTTGGATTTTTAATGTGTAAAACCACTTGACTTCCAAGAATGTCATAGATATATTCATTATCAACTGAAAGCTGACCACTGAAGAATCTGAACGTGTATAAATACATGTATTGTGTTGTGTAATTTTCCATAGATGCCATGGTCAAGCTGGTCATTATTTTTACTCAATTCCTCACAATACATATGAGCCGTGTCACAACAAAACCAACATAGTGCGTTTGCGACCAGCATGGATCTAGACCAGCCTGCGCATCCGCGCAGTCTGATCAGAATCCATGCTGTTTGCTTACCAACCCTATTACAAGTAGAGAAACTGATAGCGGACAGCATGGATCCTGATCAGACTGCGCGGATGCGCAGGCTGGTCTGGATCCATGCTGGTCACAAATGCACTATGTTGGTTTTGTCATGACACGGCTCATATCTGGTTTATTTCTATACCACCAGCTTAACTTTCATAGACAGTAGAAGTATTTTGTAGTTTTATATGTTTCCAGTATCCTGTTGATTGAAATATCCCTTACACCAACAAAGTTTTTTTATAATGGACCCAGTTAGAAATAGGAAGTGTCCGTTGATATTTTAAGAGGTTTTCAATATCAAAGGGCAAGAATTGGTATAAATATTGCACAAACTGTACAGATACTCAGGTTGGTCTGATTTCGCAAAGGCGAGTGATTTTAATCTTCTGCAGCCACAGAGCTTAAAGTGGATAGGTCTAAAATGGGCACATTTTCCATAATAATTTCAAATATTGATAAAAACAATAGAAATGTATATTTTGGATATTCTTTTGAAATGTTGCCTGAAAAATAAATGTTGATTAAGTTTTAACTGATGTAGAATAAAAATATGATGAATAATAATATTTTGTTTGAGAATATTTTATTATCTGCTATATAAATATAATTATGCAATATTCAGGTATATTACTTTTGCAGTTTGTTGTTATGTCCAATACTTAATATTACCAAAGTAATTATTCATTGTATTACAGACCCTCCATTTTAGACCAAATCACTTTAACAAAAAAATCTGTTTTGATTCCAGTTCACGCCAGGGTTGCCAAAAACACGCTCAGGAAAGATCATGCGTAGAATATTGCGTAAGATAGCTGCCAACCAGCCTGATGAACTAGGAGATGTTTCGACACTCTTTGATCCATCAATCGTTGATGCTCTAGTAGAAAAACACAAACAGATCACTGGAAAGTCCTAGTGTGAAACTTGTACATCATTAGTTTTTAGCAAAATGCATATTTATAGGATATTCAAAAGCAATTGTTTTCATACTTGAATCAAAATGCAATTTCCTGAAGACACTTAAATACATTTCACTGGTTTAAAAACAAAACAAAAATCAAAGCATACCAAGAACGTGTCCGAATTTCATAACATTTGGGTAATAGTGTTAACTAGCAACATGCTTGTTTGAATTTAGGTTTGTGTGACTTTAACCTGTTTTGGTAAAAAATTGTATGATTTAGAAGCTACATATTATAAAATTCATAAATCCACGTTCCCCACCCTGTCTTTATTACATTGTGATAAAATAAGCCTAAAAATTAAAAAAAAAAAAAAAAATTAAAAGAAGTTTAGATGATTTATTTTGAAGTCCGTTAGATAAGTCTTGACATCTCAGGTATGTTGTGTACAAGGAACAAAACATAAATATCAGGTAATTTTGTATAATAATTCTATGACTGAGTGTAAAAGTTGTAGTTTGATAAAAAAAAATTAAAAATTCAGAAAACCATTTATGCCAAAATCTGATTTTTATTTTATGATCGGTAGGTAGGTCAATACAAATGCTGTCATGCTCTTAGAGGTTGATTGAAAAAAAAAATACATTTTTGTGTATAAATTTGGAAAGGCTTTTTTCTTGAAATATTTTGACTAATTTGGAGGCATGCAGCTTTCAATAATCTCCAGTTAATCTACCAAACTAATTCTAAGGCACCTTTACGTTAAAATGATTCTTTTTTTTCATTTCTTTTTAAAAATAAAACTGTGATAAATTCTATGCAAAAGAATCATTATTACCCTTCTTTCCAAACAACTTATAAAATTGTTTAAAATGTTTGAGAATTAACAGAAAACTACATTAATATGAGGAGAAGAAAAACATTATGCATAGAAAAGTAAAGTGCCTTACAATAGTGGCAAGCTTAGACATAGTTATATAATGAATATTTAATCAGATGTATGGAATCATGCTTTCCTAAGGTAGTATTAACCTTGCTAAGATTATGTCAAAAATTTGTCCTGCTTGAATTTAGAACTTTATTGTAAGTTTTAGTGAATTTTGTCATCATAAAATTGAGCAAACAGAAGTAAAGAGCCTGATCAGACTGTACAGAAGTGCAGGATGACCTGGCATTATACTTTTTTAGCTCGACTATTCGATAAGAATAAGTAGAGCTATTGCAGTCACACGAGCGTCGGCGTCAGCGTCGGCGTAACCAATTATGTTAAAGTTTTTGTAATAGTTCAAATATTTTCAAAGTCCATTGACATATGGCTTTGAAACTTTGCACACTTGTTCACCATCATGACCCCAACCTGTAGACAGAAGGAGGTAACTCTATCAAGCATTTTGACAGAATTATGCCCCTTTTTCAACTTAGAATTTACATTAAAGTTTTTGTAATAGTTCAAATATTTTCAAAGTCCATTGACATATGGCTTTGAAACTTTGCACACTTGTTCAACATCATGACCCCAACCTGTAAACAGGAGGAGGTAACTGTATCAAGCATTTTGACAGAATTATGCCCCTTTTTCGACTTAGAATTTACGTTAAAGTTTTTGTAATAGTTCAAATATTTTCAAAGTCCATTGACATATGGCTTTGAAACTTTGCACACTTGTTCAACATCATGACCCCAACCTGTAAACAGGAGGAGGTAACTGTATCAAGCATTTTGACAGAATTATGTCCCTTTTTCGACTTAGAATTTACGTTAAAGTTTTTGTAATAGTTCAAATATTTTCAAAGTCCATTGACATATGGCTTTGAAACTTTGCACACTTGTTCACCATCATGACCCCAACCTGTAGACAGGAGGAGGTAACTCTATCAAGCATTTTGACAGAATTATAACCCTTTTTCGACTTAGAATTTACGTTAAAGTTTTTGTAATAGTTCAAATATTTTCAAAGTCCATTGACATATGGCTTTGAAACTTTGCACACTTGTTCACCATCATGACCCCAACCTGTAAACAGGAGGAGGTAACTGTAACAAGCATTTTTTTTACTGTCAAGCACTAAGAATAGTCGAGCGTTGCTGTCCTACCGACAGCTCTTGTTTGATTGATGGAATAGACAAGCCTTCATGACTAGGTTTTTTTAAAAAAAGAAATATTTTAAATTTTGTTTCATCAAATGTACATGTATATATGACAATGTTTATGACGTTAAGTACATGTACTGATGAAAAAAAGAAGTTGCATCTTGATATGTTTTACATAGTTTAATTGAGAATTTATTCAAATTGATAATTGTTAATTTTTACATGTATTGTTAACTCTCATGATACACTTTGTTACAGTTACTTAATTTAGTATTCATGAACACATCCTTTATTTGTTATTGTTGATTTTTTACCCTTTTGTTAAATGTATATTGTATTCAAGAGCTTTACATAATTTGTATCTTCATTTAATTATTATATTTTACTTACTGGGAATACAAAATGAAATGTTTAAGATAAAGAAATTGTGATTGTTCTCGATAGAATACAAATGGTTTTGAATTGAGAAGGTGTGATCATTTTTTTGTCTCAAATATCATCTATGTAACGTTTATTTAGAAAGTCACACTGTGACAGACTTACCTGAAGGTGGGGCATCCATGACCAAGTGGTTACAGTTGTTGACTTCAAACCACTTGTCTTTCACCACTGTAGGTTTGATCCACGCCAGCATCTTTGAATAATTTCATGCAAGAAAGCTAGTCCAGCTAGCTTACAAAACAATGGTGGTTTTAGTCAGGTGCCCATTTGTGCCTGAAATAATGCACAAAGGGGCACCTGAGGTCTTCCTCCACCAGTAAAGCTAGAAAGAAGCCCTATAACCTATACTGTGTTGGTGGTAAGTTAAACCCAACAAAAAGAATTTCTGCAATGTCCAAGAGGTGGCTCATGATTCTCTGTTACTATTGACAACTAAGGCTGTTTTACCTCTATTATGAGCTTTGTCTCATAACTAAGATGGTGAAGTTGATTCACCCTTGCAGTAAAATCAGGTGGAACAATCATTCAGTAAATTGATCACTCTGATATGACTGATATTGTTTTAAAACTGATATGAAACCCAGTAAGCAAAACAAAATTTCAGCATGGTAAGAAAGATGTTCATTAGCTCCTTCTAAAAATTAGTTTCCAAATTTACAACATGGCAAGAAAGTTGTTCACTCTTTCTAATATAGCTGTCAAAGTCACATGAAGTAAAATCTTATCACAAGCATGCTGTTATTTTACTATGTCATTTTTGACTCTTGAATACTAATGAGGTGGCTGCAGAAGGTTGGTGGATCTTGTGGTGTTATTTGCTTTAAATCTGTAACCCTGAAAAATTTAGTATTGTTTACTTACTGGTTTGGGAGATAAACTCGGCCAAAAATCGGTGTTTTTGGGGCAAATTTCATTTATTTGTTTACGTATTCTGATGAATCTTGCACCATAATAAACTTCAGCTCTTCGATATTCCGGTATCACCATAAAAGTTATATTTAGAAACAAGACGGGTAATTTGGAGAGGCCCTGGAAGAGGTAATACTATGTAAAAAGCACATTTTTAACACGCGCCAGTAGATAATTTCGGCTCTTTGTTTTTCTTCTTAAATCATTTTTAATGAGTAAATTAAAATGTAGAATAACATGTTTAGACATTTTATTATTCCTTTGCTATTCATATATGTCAAATGAAAAAATATGTTTTATCAGAAAAATAAGGACTGTTACTTTTATACAATGTTATGTAAAAAAAAACCCAAAAAACTTGGATACTTTTTTTTCGTAAAAAGACATGCATTTTAATTTATTAAAATACGAAATATGCAGTTTAAGAATTAGTGATTCAAATGTATTTTGGCTTGGGTAACTTCGTAATTTAACAGAGTGAAGAAGAAATTAATTTAGTGGTATTCAACCTACACAATAACATAATAAAGGAGCACTTAACATCAGTTTTTCAATCCATTGCACTAAAATATAACATTTGTGATTATTTGTGCAATCGGACTTTTTCTGAGTTTGCAAGACAAAATTGAGTCTAAATTCATCTACAAAATGTATCCGTGAATATCGTCTGCTTTACCGGTAGTCGGTCAATGTATAAAAGTAACCCTGTACGAGCCTCAAAATGAGCATCTTCTGCGCATGCGTACAACAATTGGATTTCCCGTACTATTTATAGGCATGTTTTTTTAACAAACGGGTAAATGTCTGTGCTATTTTTAGCTCGACTATACGAAGTATATGGAGAGCTGTCCTACCGGCGTCCGCGTCCAGATTTCAGATTAAAGTTTTGGTGCAGTAAAATATTTTTCACTATAACTTTGTCATTTCTTAAGGTATCAACTTCAAACTTCAAATATATGTTCCTTATCATCAACCACATCTTATGTGACAAGGTTCATAACTGTAGCACCAATATTTTCAGATTTATCTCCCCTTGAACTTAGAATTTTCCTTAAAAAATACTATTTTTTACTGTTACTTCTTTATTTCTTAAGGGATCAACCTCATACTTCAAATATATGTACCTTATCATCATCCCCATCTTATGTGACAAGGTTCATAACTCTAGCAACAATATTTTCAGATTTATCTCCCCTTGAACTTAGAATTTTCCTTAAAAAATACTATTTTTTACTGTTACTTCTTTATTTCTTAAGGGATCAACCTCATACTTCAAATATATGTACCTTATCATCATCCCCATCTTATGTGACAAGGTTCATAACTTTAGCACCAATATTTTCAGATTTATCTCCCCTTGAACTTAGAATTTTCTTAAAAAATATTATTTTTTACTGTAACTTATTTATTTCTAAAGGGATCAACTTCATACTTATGTACCTTATCATCATCCACATCTTATGTGACAAGGTTCATAACTCTAGCACCAATATTGCAAGAATTATCTCCCCATCAACTTAGATTTTAATACTAGAAAAATGTTATTTTTTACTATAACTTTTTTAGTTTTAAAGGTATCTACCTCAAACTTCAAATACTTATTCCTTATAATTAATTATATTTTATATGACAATGTTCATAACTCTTGAAGTAATTTTTACAGATTTATTTCTATTTGAACTTAGGATTTTCTTTAAGAAATATTATAACTTTGTTACTTTTTAAGGTATCTACTTCAAACTTCAAATATATACTTCTTATCATTACATCCATGTTGTGTGACAAGGTTCATAACTCTAGCGTGACTATTTCTAGAGTTATTTTCCTTGATCTTGGAATTTATTTTAACAAATGTTATTTTTTTACTATAACTTAATGCATAATTATACATAATTGATTTTTCTTTCATAGTTTTGTCCTCCTTACTGCATCCAGAATTTTATTAGTCGAGCTTGGCTGTCTCCTGTGACAGCTCTTGTTTAAATATCTTACCAAACTTGACCAAATTTCCAGATATTGTCGAATTCCAGCGTTCGTACGAGATGGTGAGCTTGATTACATTAAAAAAAGCCGATAAGTCGATTACATTATAAAAAGCCGAGTTTATTAACTCCCCAACCAGTATAGCTTTTTTTTCTATTATTTTTTATTTGTTAGATGATATTGTTATTATATTAGTAATGTTAGCGCAAAGTTTTGTAGATTAGTTCAACAATGATTGGAAGTCATTTATATGGAGTAGTTTCATAGGTACAGTTGTTTTAATATTTTCTCTACAATTGTTTATTATTGTCAATTTTGATAAATCATTTTGAATCTGTTTGATTGTAATTATGGATACAGTATGTCAGTAACTATGCAAATACTTTTATACATTTACTTGTTAATGAATTGCTATTTTCTAGTCAAAAATATAATTCATTGTTATGCAAAATATGTCCACACTCCCCCTGCATTAATCAGACCAAAGTTTATATTTTGTCATGTATTTTATATATGGAATATTTTTACTATGACTAAAGAAACCTTTTTTACCAGGTTTTCAGCGTCTTCATTGAAAACCTGGTTTCATTGCAATTAGGTACTTCTTAGTTTTTTAATTGAAAGGTAGTAAATAAGATTAAATAGTGGATCTTTTCCTGATTATTACCCCCACAAATTGTTTTGAAATGTTCTAAAGACACAGGTAGTTTTTTACACAAGTGTTTCAGTTCATGCTTTTTTTACATGAATAATAGTTTGTCTATATTAACATTGAATTGATATATTGTTATTAACATTGAATTGATATGTTGTTATATTGTTTTTTGGCCATTTTATATATGGTAAATCCTGTTGACCAGTATTTTTACATGTATTCAGGCTTATATGTTACATTAACTTATCAATATAAACCAGTCTAAAAACAGCAGCATCTGATTGGCTGATATTGCAAATAAATTTGAAATTGACCTGAATCGAAAGACTGGTTTAATGCTAAACTGAATCTTATTTTAAGATAATGAGAAGGCAACCTTCAGTTAAGACAAATATACATTTGTATAATTATGTTTTTTAATATTTATATAAGAAAATATACATCTGCATCATATGATCAATTGCATATAAGATTTACAGTGAAACCTCTGAAGAGCTACCTCCTGTAGAGCAATAACAACTTTATAACAACCTTAACATTAACTCCCAAAGTATTTCATTTATTTATTTAAATGCCATCTGTGCACAATTACATCCATTTAAGCATAAAAGATAAACAATATTACATCCTACATAGCCATTCTTCGAGTAGAGGCTTTAGATGTCTTACATATTTTACAATTAAAACTAAAGTCTGTTATACTATAGGCATATTATATGAGCATATATACCAAAACATACACATATATTATGCAAATACATTTCACATTAAAATGTAATATTAAAACATCACATGATGTCAAGTGTAAAATTTGCCAAGGGAAATACCCATTTTAAAAGAGCACTATTAAAGGGTAAACATATAGATGCTCAGAAAGTGTGCATCTTCAATGTAATATTTGTCAAAAGGCGTAGGTTATATACCCAAAGTATGACATCATAGTAGATTTACCATACTAGAGGAACACCTCCCAATAACAGTCAAAGTAGAGGTAGTACTGTATAATCTATTTTTGCTCCTGTTTGACATATTGTTACCATTTATTTTTAAATGTTTTTGAATTTGCAATTATAATAAAATTAATCAATTCATATGCAAAATTTGAATTATATTATATGATTTTAGCTTCAAAAGCAATATATTTCCAACAAAAAAATAAGAAAAAGATCTGTGTGTAGTACTATTTGATATGCAGCTGTATTTAAAGTATAGTAAATGTTGTACATTGGATTTTGATTTGATTTAGAAATGATGGAAATTTTTACTTAAATTCTGTACATAAAATGCATTTTGTATTTTAAATCAGGGGTTCACTTAATTGTCATGATAATCTGTACTTTTGTACTGTGGAAATTCATAGAATAATTGATTAATTTTTTCTAGAAATTATGTTGTGCGTAATTTTTATCACATGATGTATGTTGGTTCATTATTATCGAAGCTTATTTCAAAATTTCAAATTTCTTCACATTTTATTCGTATTCAGGTTAAGTGTGTAATACTGAAATGTGGACTTTAAATATCATTAGATAATGAAATTTTGGGAAAGTTTCTTTTCAAAACGTGTGGTTTTAGATAATGATCTAAAAAAGATCTTTCAATCTTAAAATTATCTATATAAAACGGTTCTATATTTTATTAAAACAGAAAAAATGCCTTACAAACTTCTGCACTACAAAGGACCATTTTAATCATTCAGGTTTATGACGCTAGATATACACATGTATCATGTTTGTAATTAAAATGTCATTTCATAATTGAAGAAAAGTAATTACCATTGTAAAATAAATAAATATTATAAAAAAAGACTTAAGTTCTACAAAAATCATTTTTCATTGGATCAAAGTTGATGTGGACCAATTGTCTATTAAAAGCCAGTTCTGCATTTCATAGAAAGTCTTTAATGTATATTATGTCCTAGGGTTAAAACCAACTTTAGGACCAACTTAAGACCGTTTCAATAAATGTTTTTACCTTCAGTCAGAGACTGTAGACTAATTAAATTCATTTTCCTGAGAAAAATTCAGAAATACAATGACAGACCCTTTTATTCACAATGTGTTACTGGTCATTTGTATTGCTATTCAGAAATTTAAAAAAGTCATGAAATAGGAGTCATAAGTTAAGACGTTTACTTTGAAATGCAAAATTTTTTGTCTTAAGGCTGATTTCAGAAAAAAAAACTTTCTATGAAATGCAGCCCAGATGTGTAATCTTAACCAACAGCATTGGATTGTAAATATATCTGCATGTTCTGTAATGCATGTTCATTTATTACAAATATTTCTGCATATTTTTGTATGTATATGTCCTATACATGTTTTGTGTGGTTTTTAAAAGATTTTTTATGCTACAAATTTAAAATGCCTGTTTTGCCCCCTAATTTTAAAAAGTGTATCAATACATATAGAAAAAATGTCATGCATTGTAAAAACCACCTTACAAACTGCATGATCTATTACTAGATCATTGAATCTATATATATATATACAGAACGACCCTCTGTAGATTCAGCAATTATCTCTTTCATTTTATTCTCAAAGTAAGACATCAGAATAAATTTAACCTTTGTAGAGCAACACCTCATAGCAGTAACCAAAATCATTGTCTTCCAAAGGGTGTTGCTCTACAAAGGTTTTATTGTATAATATGTCTAATTTGACTTAAGGTGAGAATTTTCAACTGAAACATTGTATGGGCAGAATCCATTATTAAAATTTCAGTCAACCAATGTCAGATTAGTGTGGAAGATGAGGTTAATTAAAATAGGTGTATATTTATTTTCATGCTGTGTAAAAGATTATTTGTATGGTATTTTACATGATTTTTTTATAACCATATATACAATACAGGTGAGGTAAAGTTTGTTGGTATACAGTATGTTTTCAGTTTGATTTTATGCGTTGAGTACATGTATAATAATGATTTGAGGTGTTGAATATAATTATAATTTTGGCCAGAAAAGTAGACCATGAAGATGTATATATTATTATATCAATAAAGAAAAGCACTGAATACTGTATTTGTTGTTGTATAAAAATCCTCTTGGCTTCTTTTATAGCTATGTAGCCAGTTTAGACCCTTTACAACTACTTTGTTTGTACATGTATGTTATTAATAAGTTCTTATTATGCCCCCATTTCGAAGAAAAGGGGGTATATTGCTTTGCACTTGTCGGTCCGTCGGTCCGTAGACCAAATGGTTTCCGAGTGATAACTAAAGAACCCTTAGGCCTAGGAACTTCAAACTTGGTATGGTGATTGGTCATGACCAGTAAATGACCCCTATTGATTTTGGGGTCAAGGGGTCAAAGGTCAAGGTCACATTGACCTTGAAAGCAAAAACGGTTTCCGATCAATAACTAAAGAGCCTTAAGGCCTAGGAACTTCAAACTTGGTATGGTGATTGGTCATGATCAGTAGATGACCCCTATTGATTTTGGGGTCAAGGGGTCAAAGGTCAAGGTCACATTGACCTTGTAAGCAAAAACGGTTTCCGATCAATAACTAAAGAACCTTAAGGCCTAGGAACTTCAAACTTGGTATGGTGATTGGTCATGATCAGTAGATGACCCCTATTGATTTTGGGGTCAAGGGGTCAAAGGTCAAGGTCACATTGACCTTGAAAGCAAAAACGGTTTCCGATCAATAACTAAAGAACCTTAAGGCCTAGGAACTTCAAACTTGGTATGGTGATTGGTCATGATCAGTAGATGACCCCTATTGATTTTGGGGTCAAGGGGTCAAAGGTCAAGGTCACATTGACCTTGTAGGTAAAAAACGGTTTCCAATCAATAACTAAAGAACCTTAAGGCCTAGGAACTTCAAACTTGGTATGGTGATTGGTTATGACCAATCAGATGACCCCTATTGATTTTGGGGTTAAGGGGTCAAAGGTCAAGGTCACATTGACCTTGTAGGTAAAAACGGTTTCCGATCAATAATGAAAGAACCCTTAGGCCTAGGGACTTCAAACTTGAGATGGTGATTGGTCATGATCAGTAGATGACCCCTATTGATTTTGGGGTCAAGGGGTCAAAGGTCAAGGTCACATTGACCTCTTAGGTAAAAACGGTTTCCGATCAATAACTAAAGAACCCTTAGGCCTAGGAACTTCAAACTTGGTATGGTGATTGGTCATGACCAGCAGATGACCCCTATTGATTTTGGGGTTAAGGGGTTAAAGGGCAACGTCACATTGACCTTGTAGGTAAAAATGCTTTCCGATCAATAACTTAAGAACCCTTTTGCCTAGGAACTTCAAACTTGGTATGGTGATTGGTCATGACCAGCAGATGACCTATTGATTTTGGGGTCAAGGGGTCAAAGGTCAAGGTCACATTGACCTTGTAGGTAAAAACGGTTTCCGATCAATTAACTAAAAAACGCTTAGGCCTAGGAACTTCAACCTTTGTGTGATGATTGGTCATGACCAGCAGATGACCCCTATTGAGTTTTAGGTGAAGGGGTCAAAGGTCAAGGTCACATTGACCTTGTAAAGTAAAAACGGTTTCTGATCAATAACTCAAGAACACTTAGGCCTAGGAACTTCAAACTTGGTATGGTGATTTGTCATGACCAGCAGATTACTCCTATTGATTTTGGGATTAAGGGGTCAAAGGTCAAGGTCACAATGACCTTGTAAGTAAAAACGGTTTCTGATCAATAACTAAAGAACGCTTCGGCCTAGGAACTTCAAACTTGGCATGGTGATTGGTCATGACCAGCAGATGACCCCTATTGATTTTGGGGTCAAAGGTCAAGGTCACATTGACCTTGTATGTTAACGGTTTCCGATCAATAATAAGAGAACCCTTAGGCCTAGGAACTTCAACCTAGGCATGGTGATTGGTCATGACCAGCAGATGACCCCTATTGATTTTGGGGTCAAGGGGTCAAAGGTCAAGGTCACATTGACCTTGTAGGTAAAAACGGTTTCTGATCAATTTACTAAAAACGCCTAGGCCTAGGAACTTCAAACTTTGTATGATGATTGGTCGTGACCAGCAGATGACCCCTATAGAGTTTTGGGTCAAGGGGTCAAAGGTCAAGGTCATGACCAGTAGATACTTTATAACCCTTATTAATTGTTTGATCACTGGGTCAGAAGTCATGCATAATAACCTTATCACATGACTAATTGGCTGCTGATAGGGGGCATACATGTTTTACAAACATATCTTGTTTCATTTTGACATTTTCAGTTTTTCTAAACTGGTATAAATTATCATCTCTTAGAAAATAATTTTCACACATTTCACATTTAGGTTTATTTACGATTGACATGCAAAATGTACATGTTTTAAGATTTTTTTTTTATATGGTGACTTTCCAGCTTTACGGGCACCTGAGTAGAACCATCAACATTTCATAACTTATATAGGTAGGTCTTTTCACCAGTAGAGAGTGAATTGTAATATGTGTTAAAATTACTTCTTCGATCAAACAGTTTCTCATATATTTCAGTTTTATACTTCTTCTCATCAGTGCGAATTGCAATTTATAGGTCTTCTCACCATTGTAGATTACCATTAATAGTTCTATAGCAATTTATATCTCGTCTCACCAGTATGGATTGCCATTAATAGTAATATAGCCATCACCAGTGTAAATTGCCATTAATAGTTCTATTGCAATTTAAAGGTCTTTTCACCATTGTAGATTACCATTAATAGTTCTATTACAATTTATAGGTCTACTCATCAGTGTGAATTGCCATTAATATTTATATAGCCATCACCAGTGTAAATTGCCATTAATAGTTCTATTGCAATTTATAGGTCTTCTCACCATTGTAGATTACCATTAATAGTTCTATTGTAATTTATAGGTCTTCTCACCAGTGTGAATTGCCATTAATAGTTATATAGCCATCACCAGTGTAAATTGCCATTAATAGTTCTATTGCAATTTATAGGTCTTTTCACCATTGTAGATTACCATTAATAGTTCTATTGTAATTTATAGGTCTTCTCACCAGTGTGAATTGCCATTAAAAGTTATATAGCCATCACCAGTGTAAATTGCTATTAATAGTTCTATTGCAATTTATAGGTCTTCTCACCAGTTTGAATTGCCAATAATAGTTCTATTGCAATTTATAGGTCTTCTTACCATTGTAGATTACCATTAATAGTTCTATTGCAATTTATAGGTCTTCTCACCAGTTTGAATTGCCATTAATAGTTCTATTGCAATTTATAGGTCTTCTCACCAGTGTGAATTGCCATTAATAGTTATATAGCCATCAGCAGTGTAAATTGCCATTAATAGTTCTATTTAATTTACCATTAACAGTTCTATTGCAATTTATAGATCTTCTCACCATATGAATTGCCATTAATAGTTCTATTGTAATTTATAGGTCTTCTCACCATTGTAGATTACCATTAATAGTTCTATTGCAATTTATAGGTCTTCTCACCAGTGTGAATTGCCATTAATAGTTATACAGCCATTACCAGTGTAAATTGCCATTTATAGTTCTATTTCAATTTATAGGTCTTCTCACCATTGTAGATTGTCATTAACAGTTCTATTGCAATTTATAGGTCTTCTCACCATTAATAGTTATATAGCCATCACCAGTGTAAATTGCCATTAATAGTTCTATTGCCATTTATAGTTCTTCTCACCATTGTAGATTGCCATTAATAGTTCTTTTGCAATTTATAGGTATTATCACCAGTGTGAATTGCCATTAATAGTTCTATAGCAATTTATAGCTCTTCTCACCAGTGTGAGTTGCCATTAATAGTTATATAATTGCATTAAAAGTTCTCACCATTGTGAATTAACATATTTTTTACAATTATTTTGTTTGAGTAAAGGATCTTTCACACTTTCCACATTTATATATTTTCACCAACGTGAAAATAATTTATCACACTATTCACGTATTCTATTGCAATTTATAGGTCTTCTCCCAGTGTGAATTGCCATTAATAGTTATATAGCCATCACCAGTGTAAATTGCCATTTATAGTTCTATTGCAATTTATAGGTCTTCTCACCATTGTAGATTATCATTAATAGTTCTATTGCAATTTATAGGTCTTCTCACCAGTGTGAATTGCCATTAATAGTTATATTGCAATTTATAGGTCTTTTCACCATTGTAGATTACCATTAATAGTTCTGTTGCAATTTATAGGTCTTCTCACCAGTGTGAATTGCCATTAATAGTTATATAGCCATCACCAGTGTAAATTGCCATTAATAGTTCTATTGCAATTTATAGGTCTTCTCACCATTGTAGATTACCATTAATAGTTCTGTTGTAATTTATAGGTCTTCTCACCAGTGTGAATTGCCATTAAAAGTTATATAGCCATCACCAGTGTAAATTGCTATTAATAGTTCTATTGCAATTTATAGGTCTTCTCACCAGTTTGAATTGCCAATAATAGTTCTATTGCAATTTATAGGTCTTTTCACCATTGTAGATTACCATTAATAGTTCTGTTGCAATTTATAGGTCTTCTCACCAGTGTGAATTGCCATTAATAGTTATATAGCCATCACCAGTGTAAATTGCCATTAATAGTTCTATTGCAATTTATAGGTCTTCTCACCATTGTAGATTACCATTAATAGTTCTGTTGTAATTTATAGGTCTTCTCACCAGTGTGAATTGCCATTAAAAGTTATATAGCCATCACCAGTGTAAATTGCTATTAATAGTTCTATTGCAATTTATAGGTCTTCTCACCAGTTTGAATTGCCAATAATAGTTCTATTGCAATTTATAGGTCTTCTTACCATTGTAGATTACCATTAATAGTTCTATTGCAATTTATAGGTCTTCTCACCAGTTTGAATTGCCATTAATAGTTCTATTGCAATTTATAGGTCTTCTCACCAGTGTGAATTGCCATTAATAGTTATATAGCCATCAGCAGTGTAAATTGCCATTAATAGTTCTATTTAATTTACTATTAACAGTTCTATTGCAATTTATAGATCTTCTCACCATATGAATTGCCATTAATAGTTCTATTGTAATTTATAGGTCTT